AATGTACTAAAAAGCAAAAAAAAAATTTTTTAGTACACTTTTTAGAACTTTGATTACATATTCAGAATCTGCGTAATTAGTACTATATACAGTGAATCTAATTTTTTTGATAGACAAAATAACAATCAAAGTAAGCAGAGAAACTCTCCATTGACATAGGATTTATATACGAAAGGCGTGTGAGTGGAGTGTGCCATGCTAAATTTTGTCTACCTAAAATATTAGACTCAGTGTATATGTATAAAAAAATTCACAAACTTATTTCATGGACTACATCTGTTAATTATATCTGTTTACGACTTTATTCAATTTTATTCAATTTTACAGATTTTTATAAGAAAATCTTGAAAAACGAGAGAAAAAACACACAAGGCTTCATTTTTTCATTCCTATTTGAAGATATTTTATTTTGCTTAACACACGTGGAGATGTTTGCTGTGGAAAAAGAGTTTTTTTTTTTAATAAAAGCTTTACTTTCACAAAATCACAGTAATACCTTTTTGTAAGCGACGAAAATACTTGTTCAAGCGTTGTTTGGCTAATTGAATAGTCTTCAATTGATAGATTTTTTTTTGCTATTTCCATGATACCGAATATAGCCGACCATTTCAAGTCTGATGGCGGGATGTAATACTTCAACAATTCATCATACTCCTCCCTACAATATAATGATTTCCAAAACAATTAGTCCAAAAATTTAGATATATTTATCGATTTGAAATTTTTTTACTTCAATTGGGCTTCTGTAAAATTTTGCATAACATAGTCCTTTATTTTGGATGCATGACTTTTTGTCGTCGATTCCGAGTAAACGCTACCAAAGACAGTTTGATATAAGAAAAAAAGTAGAAAAATTGTGAAATAAAAAAGTGGACTTACTTATTCATTATTTTGATTGTAATGCAAAAGCCTTTGGAAAACTTGTTCTTCAAATGTTGAGTTGATCCAAGACATTTCAGCTCACCGTTCACCATAATGGCCAAACGGGTGCAAAGAGCCTCACATTCTTCCATACTATGCGATGTTAATACTATTGTTTTACCAGAACTTCTTACCTTCGATAACAACTTCCATAAATGACGTTTCGCACTCGCATCCATGCCAGAACTAGGTTCATCTGAAATGAGAGAAAGAGAGAGAGGTTTGCTTTGAATATGATTTTATTTGATATAATTTATTTTTTCTTTACCCAAATAAATAATAACTGGATTTCCAATCAAAGAAATGGCCGTGCTAAGTTTTCTTTTATTGCCGCCTGAATATTGTGTTATCTTTTTATAAAGATGAGCTTTGAAATTTAGTTCGTTTGCAAGACGTTCAATTATACTACGGATATCTTTGCGATGAACACCACGTATTAGTGCAAAAATCTCTAATGTTTCCATACCGGTTAAATCATCAAGTAAAGCATCGAATTGTGGACAATATCCGATTATCTTGTTCACTTCCAACATTTCACTCTGCAAACTTATGCCTTGCACATATGCTTCGCCACTGGAAATGCTTGTGTCACCCGTTAGCATTTTGAATGTGGACGTTTTACCAGCGCCATTTATACCGAGTAGACCGAAACATTCGGCTCTTTTGACGGCAATCGACATTTCATTCACTGCCACAAAATCACCATAATTTTTTGTAAGCTTCCGAAGAACTAAATTGGTCACCTGTAATTCAGTCTTAGTCATTGCATCGACAGTTTGTTTCTCCTTAAGAACATCGTCATCAATATCATTTATATTGCGCACTGATTGTTTTTTGCTCTTCGTTATTCCAAAAGATTTTGAAAATTCGATTACGGCCAAAATTACAAAAAACACAACACCAACTGTAACCATGTACGTTAAATTTCGCAAAATACCATTTTCATCCCAGTTGTAAACGTTGATTGGTTCGTTGTTTCTCTCGTGCACACACTTTATGCAACTGTCAAGCAATGAATATGATGGCAAAAGTAATAAAAACCACTGCCATATTTTTTGACTTTCGGGTGCTGAAATCATTGCTGGTACTAGCTTTAAAATGAAATCTGTAAAAACATGTATGATCATTAATTTTTTTTATTAGATTTCAATTTTGTAAATTAATTTACTCAGTATTATTGGAATTATAGCCATCGCATTAAGTCCAGCACTGGGTGATGTGAATAAAAATGAAACCACATAGATTATCGGTAATACCGAAAATCCAAAAGCAGCAATAGTCACAAAAACTGCAGTTACATCGATACAATTTCCAATTTGATAAGTAAAAAATGGAACCATTAAAATGGATGCCATAAGTAGAAAAAGAATGTAATCAAAGAGAAACGCTGACGTCCAGTATGTGTAAATATTAAGGCCACTAACAATTTGTAATAATTTGGCCTTCGTCACCCTTTCTCGTATATAAAACAAAATGAAAAATTTGGTTGCAAACGAAAATGCCAATGAAACTACTACAACGAAAACTTTTGCTTCGAATTTATGGATCGGTTGAAGTAACAATATCATTGAGAATGCTGTTCCAGGTAAAATGAGAATTTGGAACAGAAGAATAATCGGTTTCAATAAAAAAAATCGTTTTTTAAACATTGCAAGGTATTGATTCAAGTGAAAATTAAGACCGCTTAGCAACGGCGTTACATAACCTCTTTTTTTACCTTATTTATTCTAGTAAATTTTTTTAAATATTCTAAGTTTTAAAGAAAATATTTTTAAAATATGTGAAAAGAAGCAAACTTACCATGTTTGAGACGCTTCAAATAAATGTGGTCAAAAAAGAGGTTATGTCAAGTATAAAATTTTCGTTGATATTTGGTACTAGATTTTAGTACAAATCTAGTACTCTTGCACAATGAACTTATTCTTCAAAATTAGGTTAATGTTCATAATCCACGGATAAATAAATAAATAAAACACACAATAAAAAATAAAATAAAACATTTTTTTTAATTATACAAATCAAGAAAAAACCATTTTTTCGGTTTTTCATTAAAACATTTTCTTTTCAATAATATATATTGTATTTTACCATTTGTACTCTAGCAAGTACTTGTACTCTAGTATTTACAAGAGTATTTTATATAATATAGTGGAATATATTGGTGGCATATTGGTGGCATATTTGAAAAAAGTGGTTCATATTCGTATACGAATATAAACCAATGTGTCGCCAATATTTGTCAATAAATCACGACTATATGCACGCAATCTCCCCCTCGCGTATGGACCGACCAAACAGGGCTAACTTTAACCCATGATGAACAAAGAATGGATGCTCCTTTTTCGATTCTAGTTTTTCCACATCAGGTAACTTGTTTATCTGGTCAATGGTCCACAAAACTGCACCGTCATAGGGATCCTCCAACTTGGGATCAGCACCCTTTTTACCGAATTCTTTGATGAAATGTGTACAAACATCGGAGAAGGTTTGCGGATGTACAATTTCTTCTTCATCTTTTTTTTCGCGTTTTCAACGTTTCCGTCACCTTTTTCCTTGGTGTCCTTTGAAGACATTTTTTCTTTTCGGGATGACTTTGTGAATGATTGCTTTTTGGAACTGAAGAGAAACTGATGGTTTTTACTAGTTTCTCTTGCTTTTATACCTGTTATTGGTCCCATTTAAATAATGACTCATTTTTACCAAAGCACGACGATGACAAACAACGACCGAAGCGATCGCATCGGTTGCCAGATGAACTATAGCAACCCTATTGGTAAAAGTCATTTGACAATTTCAATTTATTTCAATGGCCGCTTTTATGTCAGTGCATTGTTTTCTTTGTAGAATATACATGTAAATGTGTACGTGTTGTGAAATAAGATTTATTTTTAAAAAATAAATGCAAACATTCTGTAAGTTACACTTATTTGTATTTAAATAACATGTTTAAATTGGTGTAAGTAATAAATTATAATAAATTGTTCGATATTTGCCTGTAGGAAATAATAATTCCCAATAATTCCAAAGTTTATAAAATAACCTCAAAATAAGCAACGACAAAGCACATAAACCACATTGGTTTGGAGCGATTTCAAGGAGGTGTCGAGGTATTTTTTTAAGTAATGATTTACGTTATTTTAATCCATTTTAATTATCCGTAATTATCATTGCATCGAAATTACATAGATGGAATGCGAAACATGCAAATCAACACATTCAGCGGGAAACTGCATACATTCCGTGACAGTTCAACGTTGTGCTTCTTGCGAATCGATGATATTTAACAGTCAACACGTGTGTAATAACAACAATGCATTGCTTCATGGCTATCGATTGGACGTGCTATGCAAAAGAGCGATACCAAGATTTAAAATACGATTGAAAAACGAATTCCAACCGAATGGCGCGGATCTGTTTTTCTTCAAAGACGAACATTTCGATCCAATTGATTCAACGACGAAATTATTCTCTCCGGCCACATGTGGCCTATTCGTTGTGGAAAATAGCTCCATTTATAATATTTTGAGCTATCAATCGTCGAAAATGGTTCAATTTACATTCTACATTGCATTGTTACACACCAGACGTCCAGAAATTAGTTTAAGTATTGATGTTGGACCAAATGACATAACAGCCATGAAATGCTCTCTCTCTCTCTCTCTCTCTCTCTCTCTCTCTCTCTCTCTACAACGGGAGGCTCATTTTTGGCATGAATCCCAATTCCAAGGCTGTTGAATTACAAATACAATTCAATGGTGAAGTCAAATCAACACAGTGGTCTACTGGTATTGGCTGGACAATGCAAGAAGACATGATATTTCGTTCGAACTTAAACCAAAATTTATTACAAGGAGATCAAGGAGGCGCTCGTTGTATGAATTGCAACAAAAATCACAACACCGAAGCCTGTGATTTGCCTTTTTATACCATGCATTGCAGTAATTGTTTGGTAGTTTCATTGAATGGATCAAGTCACAATAACCCATGCATGCCTATCAACAAAATCAGCACAATAAGATCAAACTTATTCGGATTGTTGAACGCTCCTTCAACTGATTTATAACGATAATGATGGAGAAATGATGTTTTTGGGAGACGATCAACGGTTTCAACAATTCAATCTAAAATTGAATTTAGTATCGTCACCCGCAGAAAGTTTGATAACTTTCCAACAAGTGGACTTGCAGAACTTCATCACGATTAAGCAAACAACTTTTAAACGGTCATCTATTTTAATTGCAGTGCTAGATAAAACAAACATTTATCGCATTCGATTCCGTTTAGTCATAACACCAAAGCATGGAGTTTTGGTCTTTAAACAATGTAAAACACTGATTTTGCGAAATGGCCAGGTAGAAATAACCGGCGAATATACTAAAAACACGATTATGCTTCTAGCAATTAAGCCAAATGGACCAAGTTTTTACAATGTATTGAAGATTTTTGCTGCACACGATGGAAATATTGATTTGAATCGTTTCAATGGATACAAAGGATATATTGGAATCGACGTATCCGAAAATAAAACACAATCATTTGTTGATAAGTGCATTGACGGTTATGAATCATCTTTAAAACCCACAAAATTCGATAAACGATTATATAGATTTGATGATTCAAATCCATTATCTACATTCAAAGAACAGCGCATTAATACAACTGCAACAGAACAACATGGTATTGAACCAAATGATGACTGGTCGTCAAGTGACGAAGGAGCAATGGGTGGTGAGGTACAAAATACAGATAGTCCACAAATCAAACTGACAGAAATGACGGTCGATAAGTTAACAGAAGTCAATTTCATGTGCGAAATCTAAACTGTATTGGATCAACAAGTTCAGCCAAAATTTATACACCCGTGCATTGAATCATCACCTAAGATACCACCACGGCCCAATATTAATTCAAAAATAAGGAAAGTGCGCGAGTCATTGCCAATAGCAACATTTCGTAGAGACATTTTGGCATCAATTGAAAGGAATAGAGTTATTATCATTTCGGGGGAGACGGGTAATTGTTCTATAAGTTTCCTATACTTTTTACTTTTAATTTTTCATTGCATTGCTTATAATTTGTAATCAGGATCAGGAAAATCTACACAAGTGCCACAGTTTTTGATGGAAGAAGCAACTAGAAATGGTATGGCATGCCGAATCATCTTGACACAGCCTCGCCGCATTGCCGCCTACAGTTGGGCATTTTCGGTATCTTATTATTCATCTTATTATCTTATCATTCTAATAAGATCAAACTATATTATTACTTATTACTTTTTTGCACTAATAAGTATAGTAATAAGTATAGTTATTAGAATGTTACTAGTCAGAAGACTAATAAGATGCATGTATCTTATTAGTATAGTTATTAGTATAGTTTCTCAACAGTATATTTCGATTGGTGTTACTAGAAGCAAATAGTACTGAAACACGAAAAACAGCAGAAAGGCAGTCAAAATCACAAAAAAACTCCCGATCGATTTTTCTCGCACTTCCGATGGGAAATCGGCAAAAATAAGCAAATTTGTGTTCACAAAGTGAACACCATACAGCCAACTACTTTTTGGCCTAAAATCAAAATCCGGTGGAATTTGGCTGATTGGTGGACTTTCAAGATTTGGCCTGGTTTCCAGAACTTCCAAATGTAATTCCTGTATAAAATTACTCGAATAATATATGTATATGGAATTACATTTTGGAAGTTCTAGAAACCAGATGGAAATTGGAACCATTGGAAATGCGAGAAAAATCGACCGGAAGTTTTTTTGTGATTTTGACTGCCTTACTGCTGTTTTTCGTGTTTCAGTAGTATTTACTTCTAGTAACACCAATCGAAATATACTGATGAGAAACTATACTAATAACTATACTAATAAGATACATGCATCTTATTAGTCTTCTGACTAGTAACATTCTAATAACTATACTTATTACTATACTTATAACACTAATAAGATGACATCTTATTACCAGTTATTAGAAATTATTAGTAATAAGTAATAACTATCTTACTAGTCTGATGTTATTAGTCCCAACTGTATTGCCGCCACATCGGTAGCCAAACGGATTTCGGTAGAGAGAGGCGATGAACACGGCATTTCCGTTGGGCACCAAATTCGCTTGGAAAAATGTCGCAAGGCAGAAACGAATTTAATCGTGAAAACGAGTGGGTATTTACTGCAACGTTTAATTGGTACAAAGAGTAGTGACGCATATAAAAATATTACTCATGTGATACTGGATGAAGTTCATGAAAGGGAGATAAACACCGATCTCATTCTAATCGCCATAACCCAAGTCAGTATAATACGCTTTTCGAAGAGTGTACACGCTCTTCTCACACTCTTCGTATAGTTTTATTCGACTCCCTTCTCACACTCTTCTCACACTTTTGCATAAAACACGTTTATTGCTCAGTAGCTTTCTTTTTTTCCTTTATAATAAATTTTTCCACTGATGGATAGTTTTTGATTTTGTTTATTTTTGACATTTTGAAAAAAATGAACGTATACAAAAAAAATGAATTTGTAGTTCTGTTGTATTTTGACACAGCTGACGAATGCTATAAACGTCAAAAACGTTCAAATATCAAAATACAAACATAACTACTAGAATGCAGTGACAGCAATCATATCATTACCAATACCATTACACACTCTATTCTCTCTCAATAAACGTGTTTTATGCAAAAGTGTGAGAAGAGAGTCGAATAAAACTATACGAAGAGTGTGAGAAGAGCGTGTACACTCTTCGAAAAGCGTATTATACTGACTTGGGAAGAAAGGCCATGTAAGTGATTCCTGACTTCAAAGTGATTTTGATGTCAGCCACGCTAGAAGCTGATCAATTTAGTGAATATTTCAACAATTGTCCAAAAATAAACGTCCCTGGACGTTTATTTAATGTAAGTTGTTTTTACTTGGATGAAGTTTTGTACCGAACCGGTTTCAAAACCGATGAGATGAAAATATATATTGAAGATACAATGCATTGTGAAAGTGGGCAAGAGCAATTACTTCTTGCTTACAACTCGACATTCAATGACGACATAATTGATTTCGATCTACTGGTCCACGTTATCGATCATATTCATAGCCACACTGCTTGCGATGGAAGCATTCTCATCTTTTTACCAGGATACCATGACATCATAACATTACACGATTTGTTGGAAATTAAATTCGAAGGCAAAGAAAACTTTCGATTATTTATTCTTCATAGCTGTGTCGAAGAAGAAAATGTTTTCAATCCATTGCCAAATGGAACCCGAAAAATTATAATCAGCACAAATCTTGCAGAAACATCGGTTACGATTGATGATGTGGTAAGATTCGAAAAGAATTTTTAAAATCATCTTATGTACTGATTAATAATCAGTGATTATACGTAGGCGACTATTTAAGTTTCTTCAATATGTATGTTTTAGTATTAATTGATATTACTCATTGCGCTTAATTGTTCATACTTTTTTGTTTTCTATAGGTTTACGTTGTCGATGTGGGCAAAGTAAAAGAGCACAACTATGATTCGGTCACGGAATCAACTTGCCTGGACACCGTTGATATTTCAAAGGCATGTACTAAACAAAGTAGTGGACGCGCCGGTAGAGTGCGAGAAGGGTGCGCTTATCGATTATACTCAATTGATAAGTACGAAAAAATGGCAAGTTATACAACCCCCGATATGCTACGCATGTCTCTACTTGAAATATGCCTTAAAGCCAAATTGTTGGCCGATGGTTCATCAATCAAGCAGTTTTTAGCTGAAGCAATTCAACCACCTTCACCACAGAAAGTTAACAACAGCATCGAAATTTTGATTAAAATCAATGCATTGGAACCAAATGAAAAGATCACACAGCTGGGGAGTCACCTAGCACATATGCCAGTTAATTGTCAATTGGGAAAAATGATTCTATACTCCATTTTTCTACAATGTGTGGATCCCGTATTAACGATTGTCAGTGCACTGTCCGTAAAGTCATTGTATATGCTACGAAAGAAGAAGAAAGATGATTGTGAATCAAATAATGAATTCGAAAATTCGAATGCGACAAACGGTTTTAGTGATCATCAAACGATTCTAAAAACGTGTGAAGCTTGGTGCAACGATTTGTCGAAAAGGAGCATGCAGACAATTATGGGATTGCGCAAGCTTATCATGAATCATTTAAAAATGGCAAAGTACATCGATGACGACTCAAAATTGAACGAAAATGCATCGAAATGGGAGATTGTTAAGTCGTGTCTGGTAGCTGGCATGTGCCGTAAGTAATATAAAATAATAATTATGAATTTACAATGCAATGTTTCATGAAAAATGCCAATATTTTTCAGCTAATTTGTGTCGTGCGAGTGACAATTGTGAACGATTCGTCGGAGAAAAGTCCGAAAATATGAAAATACATTGGACATCGCTGCTTAACGATCGCGATCTGAATAGAATTGGGACCGAACAGTTGATATACGGGCAGAAGAAACGAATTGAAAATCACATTTTCATCGGAAACTTGACAGTAATGCCAATGATTAGTTTGATTTTATTTGCTGGGCCATTGGATACAACTCAAACTAAACTAGCTCCTGACGGAACCATATTTACAATTGGCAAATTTATTAAATGCAATGTAACAATGAGATTCATTCAAAGTTTTCATTGATTTTCATGAAGTTTCTCAAAAACAAGGATTTATCGGGCGATGAAAAGTTTCTTTCAGAAACTATCATCGATGTCATCCAAAAAGAGGATAATATTGAAAAACGTATAAAAAAGATCATTTCAATGCACTGACTAATTAAAAAGCATTTATAATAGAAATACTTTAGCGTTCTTTAGTATTATAATTGATTATAGTTAATAATAATAATAATAAAATAATATTATTATTATTATTAAAAGAAAACAGAACAAACAACAACTGAAATAAAAATCGGGTAAAATAAAGCGAAAAAGTGGATTCTTTGAAATAAAATAAAAAATTAATACGAAATTACAAAAAAATGTTTATTTACTCATATCGACGCACATATATTAAGCCTGCCAGATTTTTTTTTTAGTCGATCCGGGCCGGATTATCCGGGCGATTTTTCTCTAAATCCGGGCGAAATCCGGGCGATGGGGCCCAAAATTGCCAATTGAAAATCCGGGCGAAATCCGGGCGAAATTCAAAATTTTTTTTTTCGATCAATATAATATATGAGTAAAACAAAAGAAGTTGATACAAAAATCATATTTTTTAATCAAAATATTAATAAATAAACTCGCATGTAACCTTAATCAGAAATTTTTAACTAAATATGAGCTTAAGCTGTAGTGGAAGTTGAGAGTAACTGTTCATTTGATTGTGTCTTGAACAAATCGGACGTTTTGTCGTATTTTTCATGTCCCATAACTTTACGAAGCAGTTCGGAATCACCCTTGATTTTTTCGTAGAAGTTTGAGCAAGAATCATTCCAATTGAACTTGACCATTAACCGTGAACGAACATTTTCAATTTTCAAGCTGCCTTTTTCTGGTGTCCAAATGTCATTGATGTGTGAAAAAACGCGTTCGACTGTTGCATTTGTAGCAGGAATGACCAATGCAAATTCTACCAACTTCAGCAACTCACTAAATGGCACCGATTTCTCATCAAAATGACGAAATATTTTGACCCACTTTTTGTCAGTCGCCTTTTCCTCTTTGATTGAATTTTCGTTTACATTCAAGAATGCTTCCATAATTGAGAACTGATTGAAGAGCTTGTCCATATCCACTGAATTGAAATAGTTTCGTCCAGTCATCCATAGTGCAGCACACTCGATATCATTCCATTTTACTTTGTTGTTTAGCCGAATCCAAGAAAATACTTTGACATCATCCAACCATTCAGTCCAATCATTCAAATACTTCAATACCGTGCGATGAAATGCCTTGACTTTATCCATAAACTTTCGTTTTGGAGCACCATTGTTGACTTTCTCACTTGCAGTGCGGAATTCAGATGAAAAATAATTATTTTGCAGCCGACTTTTAACATTAGTTTTCAATTCATCGATTGTATGGCACGCATCAACAGCACAAATGTAGTCTCCTTCAAGTCGCAATATGGCATTTTGAAAATTCTCTGCTTGATCTCGAACGAAAATCAACGTTACCAAAGCGAATGGGTCATCGAAAAATTCCAAAATTTTCACAGGTGCATCGAAAGAATGAAAATATTCATTCAATGCGTCGAAATTGGCAATGATTGAACTCAAACATTCTTTCAACGCTAAGAAGCGCGTTTTGCTGTAGCCTTTCAATTTTACGTATGTTTCACCAATTGCATCACAAAAATCTTTCAATGTATTCAAACGAACAGTGTATCGGTAGAAGTGTGTATAAATTTTCACTGCGATGTATTCAACGTCAATGTCCAGCTTGTCAGAAGCGTTGCCTATCGCATTGTGAAGTGAATGAGCGGTGCAACCAGCTCCAATCATATTCGCATTGAAACGTTGTTTTAGTTGCTTGAATACATTTTTGCTGCCTGTTCGATGAACGGATCCAAAATTGGTTGGTGCGTTGTCACCAGAGAACACGACAATTTTGTTCTCAATGTCATAATTGTTTGCCGTAACGCTTAGCAAATTCACGATTATGTCAGCAGTTTCACCTATTGAAAACAATTTTATTTTAGTAAAAAGAACACAATCAAATCATTCATTTGATGAACCTTTTTGATCTGATAAATCCAAAACCTTTGTTTTGAGACCTTCGAGTGCTGCAAAATAACGAACAACAACGGGAAACATTTTGATTGCACCATGGTTTGAAGCATCTGTTGCGATCGAGACGAAATTGCATGATTCCAATTCCTTTTTCATTTCTTCGACAATTTTTGGAGCAAACACATTTGAAACAATTGCTGCGCATTTCGTTCTACCCAATCGGAATTTGTTTTGCATAAACACTTCACGAAAGATACCGCTTTCACAGTCAGATGACGCAAATGATTGATTTTTGTGTATTTTGTGGTAGCACCACAATGCTTCTTTCGCTGCATTTTCAATAGCTGCTTTCTCATTAGCTATATATGTTCAACCAAAATAAAAATATTGATTGTAATGAAAAACATCACCAAGAACAAACAGCAAATAGAAATACAATACCATTGAACAAATTCGACAACGTTTTTGTACCAGCAACTTTTTTCAGATTGGCGATATGCTCCTTTGTATTTACGTGCTTTTCAATATCAGCCTTGCCTTTGTGGTGAATGGACAAATCTTTGTTGCAATGCATGCAATGACAATGGTCTGATTTCCCATTTTTCGCTGCCGTAATTCCCGGATAAAGTTTGCTGTACTCTGGATTCCACTTACAGCTACCACTCTTTGGACCAGGCATTTTTATTTTGCTTCTCTTTTTGAATGAACTGAACTCAACAATAACACAGTGCAAACTGATATGTGTTCGATGACGATGTCGATCATTTCTGCTCAGATTGCTGAATATATTTTGCATCATCGATTCAAATTTGTTTATTAACACAATAAAAAGAATATCTTTCATTTTTAATACAAATGATTCGATTGTTTTTATAGTACGTATGCGAGAAGAGAGAGTTGTCAAACCAAAGTGAAATGTCATTCAGTTGTACACAAGTGAAGTACTAGAATTTAATATAAAATGAATTTCCAATACGCAGAATGAGTAAAACATTAATGGAAATTTGATTTTTTTAGCTTCATTTTGACTTATGGTTTTGGTAATTGTTGAAAAAAAAATTTGAAAAAAAGAAAAAAATTGTTGAAACGCGTCTTTTTTTGATTTTTTTTTTAAAAAAAGGAAAAAAAATCCGGGCGAAATCCGGGTTTTTTTCTTCATATCCGGTGATCCGGGCCGGGCGATTTTTCGTCCGGGTTTTGCTTCAAAAATCCGGGCGACACCGGATTTATCCGGGCGATCTGGCAGGCTTAACATATATATACAATTGTTATCTATATTATAAAAACGAAATGCCATTCTTTTGTCCTTAACTCCTCTCACAATTTTCAACCGATCTGAACCAAACTTTGCACCCTTATACTTTGGACCGAGATCTAGGTCACCATGAGGTTTTGGACCAAATTGGACTACTCCATCACGGTCGATTTTTATTTTTCAAATATTTGTATGGGCGATGTCAAAATTTGTAAATTTCATGATCAAATTCGGATTCCTCGGCCCAAAATTATGGGAGAGGGGTACTTTTGAAGTTGGTTTAACAGCCATCGTTGTCTAATATGAGTTAAAACGTTTTATCACCGTTATCATGTTTTAACAACTTTTAACATCTTTTAACACGGTAAATGAGGTCAGAAGCATGGTCCATCATGGTCTAACACGATTTAACACGGTAAATGAGGTTGGAAATCATGGAACATCATGGCCAAACAACATTTAACACGGTTATTGAGGTGGGAGAACATGGTAAATCATGGCCTTACAACATTTAACACGGTAAATGAGGTTGGAAATCATGGAACATCATGCCCTAACAACATTTAACACGGTTATTGAGGTGGGACAACATGGTACACCATGGTCCAACAACTTTTAACACGGTTATTGATGTGGGACAACATGGTACATCATGGTCTAACAAAATTTAATACGGCTATTGAGGTCGGACAACATGGTCCATGACTTAAAATTGATATTAATATTGAATGAACAAAATTTAATAAAGTCAAAATCTATAGAGATAGGAATTATAATAACATGCCTAGCCGAGCGAGCGGAGCGAGCGTGCCGTAGCGAGCGAAGCGAGCGGAGGCCGGCTAGTTACTTATATTTTTAGGACAATAAATTTAAATAAATTGTATCAAATTCACATACTGGCTGTAAAATATATATAATAATAGTTCAAATCGATACAGAGCACTGTATGTGAATTGAAAATTCTATTTAAAGAAAATCAAATGTATTTTGTGATTCATCAAGAAAATGCCCGAAATATTTAAGAAGAATATCATTGGTGTAACTAATAAATAATGATTAATAAAAATTCTTATTAGTTAGTAGATTTTTCACATTAGTACTTTATTATTTAGTAATTCTTAGTAGCCACTAAGAAGTAATAATTATTATTTCACTAGCTACTAACAACTACTAATTATTAGGTCTTAGTAGATTTTTTATTAGAATGTTAGTAGATTTTTTATTAGAATGTTAATAGAAATTTTATTAAAACGCCTATTGATTCAATCACGATTGGTATTCGCTTACTATTCAATAGGTATCACATAGCAAGTTTATATGAAACTCTCGGAGACTCGGTATAGAGCACTCAAACAGTGAAAAAAGTCCAGATCGTGCACTTAAAATAATAATTATTACTTCTTAGTGGCTACTAAGAACTACTAAGTAATAAAATAATAAAAATGATGAAACTAATAAACTAATAATAATTCTACTAATTAGTAGAAAAATTAACACCTATGAAGAATATTTTGTTTGCTGTTAAAATGTAAACTTACCAATGTGAAGTGAAATATTCAGAAATATTATAACGCCTTCAATCACAGCTACGAAACGAAGCCTACAATAGACATGCAAAGTGCGTGTGTATTTTGCACGCAGCATCATATTTTTTCAGCAATGAATAAAGTAGACCCACATGGCCTTTTTGCGAAATAAAGTCTCACTCGTGTGCGGAGATCGCCGTAATATGCTACACTTCCCCTTCGTTGTTCAACGTTGAGACGGTAAAGGCGTATAAGCATACACAGTTCTATACTAGTATTCGTGTGTGTGAGTGTACGCGATTGTGTTAAGAGTATAGAGTATACACTTTCATACAAAAAATATTGACAGCACATTTTGGAGAAATCAGACGATCGACATAAGATTTAAAAATTTATTTTTTAATATTTTTGTTATTATTATTATAGATTTTCTATATTATTTTTTGTTTGATATATTTTTTTACCTTTTATATTCCCAAATTTTTGTATTGCAAGTGAGAAATTTAGTATTTAATTATTATTCGTTATTTTCTTTGATTCTCTACACAACTAAAACTCTCCATAAAACAATGTGTTCATAGAACTGTCATTCATCAAGTCAGAGTCATTAAGAAACAATTTCATCATTTTTTTTTCAATTTTTCGACATATTTTCTATTTATTTCAATATCACTGGAAATTTTACTACAAAACAATGTGAAAAATGTTTTCTAGTTTTTAAAAAAAATTAAAATGATATATACGTGTTATGAGCTAATGAACCAAAGTGATCATTTAATTCTAGATCACAGCGGACGGCAGTACGCGCGAGTGACGAAACCACATTAGTGCAGGGGCGTCGCCAAGAATTCGGTTGGGGGGGGGGCAAGTCAGTTAAAAAACGAGGACATTTTTTTCAAAAAACGATGACATTTTTCAAAAAATCGATATATATATATATTATAGATACAAAATACATATTATATTATGCATTTATGTTTTCTTATTTTAGCAATATTTTTCTTGTATCTGATGCGAACTTTTCCAAAACTTCGTTCAATATCTTGTTTTTATTTTCTTTTACAAGCTCGCGGTGAATGCTTAACATGCAAAGACCTGTAATGAATTAAACTTTAGAGTGTTATTCATATTTATTGTTACACAGTTAGCTACCTGTGAGACGGTTTGCGAGCATTGTTGTGCGGAGCCACGTTTTCACTCTTCTCAGTGTACTAAATGAACGTTCTATTGTACATGTGGTGCAAGGAAGGGCTAACGCTATCAATAGAACTTGTTTAATCGTAGGAAAAAAAAGTGTTTGCTTCTCGAATAACATCGCACAATTCTAATTTTTCGAGTTTTTCACTGGTCAGCTTTTTTTCTTCCCACATTGTACGCCACAACTCTATTTCATTCTCCACATTCTCTACTCTGTAGAATTCAGCAAAATTATTTATACTTGAGATCATTTCATCGTTAGTCATTTTGAGCATGTTGGATGGATGTAGGCTTAACAGTGAGAATGCCGGAATATTTTCTTCTGGAAAACGGTATTTTATATTCGCTATAAGTGAATCGAGGTATGGTATTAATAGAGATATTTTCCAATAATCAGAGGGACTCGATGAGGGTTGGTTTGATCGATGTACTTGTCGAGTTGTAACTCTGGGTATACAAAGTTCCACACCGATATTATTGGCGAATTTTTCAGTACTGTCCAAAAGATCTTTGATACCAGAATCTACATTTGTCCTATGGTCATTCAAAACACTTAAAATAGTTTTTATATGCATCGAGCATGAGAAAAGATCCAGATTTTTAGATTGTAGCGCATTTACAATGGGTTCAATCATAGCAGAATATTTCGCAATTATAAAAACACAAATAATAAATATTGGTTTTGTAGCGGAACAATGTAGCTGGAAGGCTCTCGTTCGTGTTTCGCGGTTTCCTTCTTTTGCTAGTGTGTCCAATCCGGTAACAAGCATTTCGAAATGTTTTTTAAAAATAGAAATGCTCTGGTATTTTTGCGACCAACGGGTCTCACAGAAAGTCGGAATATTTGGAGCATATTTACGACGCAAAACAGATTCTCTGAAAAAATTTATAATCTCCTTGACCGTTGATATAGTATTGCGGATTTCAGGAACAGAGCTTGAATCATTGACAACAAGATTAATTTTATGGCTGGCACAATGAAAATACAAAGCCTTTGGATATTTTTGTTTCAGAATTTTTTGCACTCCTGCGTTATCGCCAGACATTGTGGAACAGCCATCATAGCCTTGCCCCACACATTTCATCGGATCCAGACCATGGTTTTGTATGAAATTATCAATGAAATTAGCGATTGTTTTAGCATCCATGGCATTTAATTCAATGAAACCAAGACATTCTTCACGAACTATCATTTTATGTTCATCAAAAAATCTAACACCAATAGATAGCTGCTCCTTACCAGACATATCGGCAGTTTCGTCTGCCATTATACTATATACTGGAGATTTTTTAACATCTTCAATTAAAATTTCTTGAATAGTACGCCCCAATAAATCGACAATTTCGTTTTGTATTTGTACCGATAGATACGAAGCATTTTTTTTGCCTTCTTCTATATGTTTTTTAAGAATTTCATCTCCGGCATCAATTTTGAATTTAATTAAGTCGTGAAAAACGCCTATGATGCAAAAGTACATTAAAAAAAAATAAACTTAAATTACACTTATTAATCGGGGAAACATTCGGAAAATCTAAAAGATCATTTACCAGTTTGTGATTCTTTTCCTCTTAATGGCAAGTCGTGTGTACCGCAGAATATAATTGTTGAAATAATTGAAGACAAAATTTTCCGATTGTTTTCAATTAAACTTTGATGTCCAGATATAGCTACAACGTTTACAGGTAAAACATTCAGAAAACTGTTAGCTGATGTAGTTGCTTGCTTATGCCATTTACTTTGTGCATGGTTTTTACACTCCTCATGCATGTTTTTATATCGCGTAAATGGCGTCACAATGAATGATCCCAAAACGCCTTGTACCACAGTTGGGGGAAACAATACACAATATAGGCATAAGGCACCTTTCAATTTTTTTGAATAGGTAAGCCAAGGTGCATAGGTTGTGAGCCAATCATGAATAAACTTTCTTTGTGAGTAAATTCGACGTTCAGCAACATCTTTACTGAAGTCATAGCTCTTCGGAGGAGACCAACATTTTTTCAAAATATCTAATTTTTGTGGTCTTGTCATGGAAGTGGACTTTCCAAGATATTTTCCAATATCAAATTCTGGGAAATCATCATCACCAGAACAGCCGCTTGTTGAAGCAGATTGATTTTCAGTTTCTGCACTGCATGCAGATGCTGGCTCGTTAATTTCAGAACACTCAGGTGGTAAAACTTTATTGACATCAGAAGAATGATCTAAATCACTATCACTCACATTTTCAATTTCATTTTCTTCGCTGTGTTCAGTTTGAGAAATCTCTGGTATTTCTCTTGGCCCTATTAAAATTAAGTAAATTAAATCAAAATCACTATACCCAAAATTGAAATAAAATCAAAACTCACGAGCAAAAAACCGATGTAAAGAGTGTGAAGTGGCCACAGCTCGTTCATTTTTTTTATGGTTTTCACCCTTGGCATGTTCTTGTACACAAGCGATGCCTTTTCCGCCGATTGAGAATATTTTTTTGCATAATTTACAGTAGCCACTGAAATTGTCTTTTGGTACGGCATTCAACCAGGGATATGATGTTATCCAATCACGGTTGAATTTAGTCTTTCTATGAGACATTTTTTAATTCTTACAATTTTATGATATAAATTCTAATTTTTAGAAGAAGAACACTTTCGCTATAATGATTTTGAATTTCGCACATTAAATGATAAATTATTTTCAATGCTATAATATGTTTCTTTTAAGCGCATTCAAACTCAGTATGAAGAAACTCTTTACTAAGCAAAAATATTCATTAAACAATTGATTGAAGCCGATCCACTGTGCTCCAATCAGTTTATTAAACCAATAAATAAATTCATATAAGGAATATTTTTGCTTAGTAAAGAGTTTCTTCATGCCGAATTTGAGAGCGTTTAAAAGAAATATATTATAGCATTTGAAATGATTTATCAATTGTTTAATGAATATTTTTGCTAAGTAAAGAGTTTCTTCTTGCCAAATTTGAGTGCGTTCAAAAGAAACAAATTATAGCATTGAAAATGATTTATCATTTAATGTGTGACTCATTAAAGCGAAAGTGTTCTTCATTTAAAAAATAAGAATTTATATTGAATGGATCGAATAAACAAAGTCACTTCAACACCTGTATAAACAAAAGTGCAAGAGTATTTACACCCAAATTTGAATATTATGACCACTGGAAAAAAGATGACCGATCAGTTTTATATGTAAGCATGCATATTGTTATCCATTAAGTTCGCAAAATCAAAACTATAAAAGAGATGTCACTTCTGTAAAAATAATCATTTTCAATCAGTACATCAGACAAACATCGTGAAAGACGAAAATGAAAGTTCCAAAAGTACCGATTCTTAAGAAAATTCCAAAAATTCCGAAGTTTGGAAAGAGAACATTAAAATACGGCGGCGCGGCTCTAACGGGTTACGAAGTGGGTGAAATTCTAACTGGCGACCAACAAAGTCAAATTAATATAATCGTCCCATCGCAACCGCAACAAACTGCTTTGATAAAAGCCCAAGAAAACACCGAAAACATGAATTTGATCTTATGGATCATTCTGATTATCATGCTAATTGTTTTGGCATTGATAATCGCCATCATTGGCTGTAAAGTTTTCGCAAAAAGATCTGTGAAAAAATTCAAACGGTCTTTAGAGGAGGGTAAACAATAACAGGTACAAATAAATGGTTTTCGTCAAAATTTCTTTTCAATTTTAATAATAATCGTGTTTTTAATTTTCAAATTAACGAGGCTAGACGATTATCGAATTTTCTATTCAATATTGAATCACCGCCGAAGGAAATTATATCTCACCTCCGATGACAACGAAAACATCAAACCCTTTCAAAAGTTCATTAAAATTCGAAAACATTCAAATTCAGTTTGTGAAAGTCAATGAATATATGAAATAAATTGTGAAATAAAAAATTGTGTTTATTATTCTCAGTGTTCTTTTCAGCAATCTGATTGCTATTGAGTATGTTTGTATTAATGAGCTTTTTCGATATTTTCTATTTCCGTTTTCAAAGCTGTATATGTATTTTTCAACACTCCAATTGATCTGGAATTTTATCTATCCATATATACAAGATCAGAGCAGGCCAAGAAATTGAAACTTATTGATAATATTCAATGAGATAATAGAATATGCCATTGCATTAGCACTTATTTTTCATCATAAAAAAATTGTATACTTAATTTTGATAAAAAAAAAAATAACTTTGATAAGTCTACTGCAAACAAACCCAAAAAATAACAAATCCCTTACATCAGTTCGTTGATAATAAAACAAACACATATGTGAAGAAAGAAAACAACCGATTCATCTATAAATGCAAAGAGTTGGCTATCGCTTTCAATTGTGATGTTTATGCCTCATATAAACAAAACAATGTAAGTTTTATACTTTGCTTTGTCGCTGTTTTGAGACGTTAGTTTGATAAATTCAGTAACAAATGTTTATATAATTACAAACAGACTCTAAATGATCCAACGAACTGATGTCATCGATTTTTCAAAAAAAAAAATGAGTAAAATTTGAAATGTGAAATAGCTCTTTCGATTATTAGTTCATCGGTTCTCTAAAAAAAATTTTTTGATGTCTGGCATTTTAAAAATCGAGGACAATTTGCTCAGGGGGGGGCTGCCGCCCCCCCCTGCCCCCCTCTGGCGACGCCCTTGCATTAGTGTGTTGAAAAGTCGACTTGCTATATATACACGTAATTTCCAAATTCTAGCCTGGAAGGCCTTTAGCCGCGATTGATTTATGGTTGGAAAGCCCTTGGGCTATAGATCAAGAAAAAATATCAAAGTTTGAAAATCGGTCCGACTGTCTTTAAAATATAGTCCTTTCAAGAAAAGGGTCAAAATTCAGTTTCATGGCCATAAATGGCCCTAAATGAGGTCGTCGACCCCTGAAACTTCGTCATTCGAATTCTAGAGCTCAATACCTTTACAACGATCCTCTAACCGTCGAAATCGATCAATCTTTTCGAAAAATTCCGCATTTTGAAAATTTCTTATGATTTTCCTATAAAAGTTATTTAGCATATCTGTCTGTGCGCAATTTTGCGTACTTGTTTTTGATCTTTTTGAAACTTTCTGTGATTAAAGTACACAAAAAACTAAGACTTTTTTGTTCCGGCACTTTTCGATATGGCCGCCATGTTGGCCATGGCCGGCCTCTGAAAGTCACTTTTCGACTTTTTTCCCTATGGTCACCTTTCATTGGAAAGGTCTTGAAATGAGCTATCGAATGGAGTCATTTGCGGTCCAAAAATTTCAAGTTGGAGTGGCCAAATTGGCCAAAAATCAAAAAGTTACCGTTTGGCTAGACACATAATGGTCATTAGCTCGAAAACTAGCCTTTCATGGTCACTTGAAAATTTCACCGATTTTTAGGCCCAAGTCTAAGCTATAAAATGCCGCATAGCTTATATCCCCAAAAATTCTTGTCTTCACGATATGGCCTTTGATAGTGCGAATATGGCCAAAAAGGACAAAAAATGTTACTTTTAACATTTGAAGTATTTTATGGGCAAATAAAGAGTCTTACGGGAGTAAGACGAACTTTTCCGCACGGTGGTAGTTGCGTATTTTATCAAGAAAGTTCAAAATAATATTTGTTCGATTTTTCAAGCCTTTCAAGTGGCGTAAAGTTCGAGACCAAAAAATATGTTTCAACTTTGGCTACGAAATATTCTTTAATTTAATAGCAGAAGTAGCCAAGAAAAGATTTTTCACACTTTCATGATGAACCCATTTGTACGACATTTGAAACACTATAAAAAATATGTCTGACGTTAATTTTGCCATAAAAATTATTTTTGAAACACTTTTCATAACTAAAGTCACAAAAAATTTGGATTTTTGTATGGGAGCCATGTCTGTATGCTACCTTAATTGCATGAAACTTTGTACAGGTTATTTTTTTCACAAAAAAATAACATTCGGAGGGTTTGGAGAAATTTCAACCAAAATTAAGAGTACCTCCCATACAAAATATTCGTGAAAATTTTGTATGGGAGGTACCCCTAATTTTAATTGGAATCTTTTCAAACTTTCAGAATGTTATTTTTTACACTATGTGTGCGGAAAAGTAAAATGTACTCCAATGACTCTGTAAATATGCTCTGTGACTAGCCAAATTAACAATCAACCCAAAAATGGTACTTTTTATACCATTTTTCACAAAAATTCGAGGAAATTATGGTTTTCCACAGACGGTAGCTCATTTTTAAGGCTCGATTCGAATTCAGCGCGTCAATTCACTCTAGAAACAACCATTAACACTGTTGTGAATGACAAATAAAACAAGAAAAGTCGTCAAAATGACCCATTTTGACCTAAATTTCACATTTTTCCACAATGTGGTGCTTAAATGACAATTTAAATGAACAGAATCGGCCCAAATCATTTCAAAATGATTAACACCCATAATTTAAACACGAATACATTACCGTTCGCTTGTAATTTTCACGACTTATTTTATTTGATTCAGTCAATAAACCATTAAATGACGACAGAATGAAAAAAAGAGTAAGTATTTTTACCTTCAAGTTTACTTCAAAAATTATAATTCAAATGCTGTAGTTTGGCTTAGATTCATAAGACAAATTAAGAAAAATGAGTTCTGTTGATAGAACTGAACATTATATTTATTTTTTTAAGACAAGTTTCCAGAAAAAAAACAAATCACATAAAAAATTCTAAAAAATAGCTTTATTTGAAAATACGTGTGCTTAGTTTAGTCTATAAATTTGAAAACTTATCGTCGATATACACCTTAAAGACAAGAGAAAAAAAAACACAGTGAAAAAATCTTTTTTTTAACTTTCAAAATGCAGAAAAATTTAAAATATCAAGTAATTCGACAAATTCATTAACATTAGTGTAAATTACATGGAATTAAATATTAATTGTGGTATTTGATTCTAATTTATAGTAAGATCAGATTTTGAAACACCTGGAAAATCTTTTCTGTATTTGTTTACAACATGCAACAAATATTGTTTACCCTGTTCATCTGTTGTCAACGATTCATTGTAATCCGTAAAGAGTTTGACGGCTCTTTCGGCATGATCGTTGACAACTTGTAAAGTTGACAGCGTTTGCTGAATTTCTATATATTCTTCATTATGCTCCCATTCAGATGGGTCGTTTTCCATAAAGTTCATAGGGAAATTAAATCTTTCGAAAAATGCAATAGTATTTTCAGTGATGAAACTGTGTAACTCCCATTCGTTAATATGTGTCATTCTAGATGGTGGAATAATGGTTCTGAATACACGTGTAGAATCGATTTTTTCGGGTTGGCTCAGAAGCGTTTCATGCATCTTACGCTTTTCATCTAATGCGACATTGCCATCGAAGAACGCCAGTGCAATTGGTTCCTCTTGTAAATACCATAAATGTGTACCGAACTTTTTTGTGACTACCCTAGATATTGCTGGACTTACATCATCAAATGCGCGAATATTTTTCAAAAAATTCAAATCCTGTTGAGGTGCTTCCACGGCGTTTGGACATCGCGTCCAACCTTTCACATAAAATCGCACGACAAACAAGCAGAAGTGAGTAAGAGCTATTTTGTC